TCTTTCAACCTCCCCCTGTGATCAAAAAGTGATCACAAAAAAATGAGCATGCCAAAAAAAAAGTCTTGGGGATGCATGCTATCAGTCACTATTACCTCAGGGTGCGGCACTGTTTACCTTGGGGATTTTGGAGGAATTAATTTTAGACATCTGCTTAGTGGTCACTGTGGCGGAACCCGCCTCGCCACCTGGCATTGGAGAGGCCTGGCTGCCCGCCTCCTTCCTGCTGACTATGGCCCCTGGTAAAGTTGTACTTTTGAATGCAATATTTGGGCATATTGTATTTTATTGTGCGGCTACTGGCTCTTTAAGCACAGTGAATGGACTTACTGAAACTTTTTGGACACTTCTTCTTCCCCTCCCCCGGATACATTGTTCTCCAGCAGGGTGTTGTCCCAGGGACACTGCCAAACCAGTGGGAACTGGTTTGCCAGGAAAAATCATGCTTGCAAGTAAAAACAAAGGACTTCGACCTAACCGTTAAACCCCTGAACCTATTCAAGTGAATTTTGGATATGTTTGTCCCCAAGTTATACTGGTTAAAATAATTTAAGTTTTATGTATGTGCGATGTTAACTCACAGAGTTATAAAAATGTACAAAAAGTAACTTTTCAGCTTGGAGATAATTGAGTAGATACAGTAATTGACTCAATTATCTCCTAAGCAGAGGGGAGGAATATGCTGGGTGTGTTTCTATTTTCCCATTGTGTCTGATTGGCTGCTGTACTTGCATTGTATGTGTTGTAATGTGTTTATTGGTGGTTCTGCAAAACCCTGTGGGCAGTACTATGTTTTGTGGATTGTAATAAAAACCAGGCTGGGTGTGCCAGCACTTGAGTTCCTGTTTTAACCCTCAAAGTGAAGTGTTGTCTCATTATTGGGGGAAGGATTTATTGTATGCTGTTCCAGTTTGACTGCTTGGAGAGTAAACCTATTCGTATGGTTCCTATTCAACTGTCTACAGCATTCATATGCTTGGGAGAATTTATTTGGTTCTCCGGTTCGGTGATTGTGGTGTCTGCCAGAGTGCTTGGAGTCCTCAGGAAGCGCTAGGAGCATCCTTCAACGGAGGTACCCAGTCGAGGTGCCAGGCGATCCGTTACAGTCACATTCACAATGCATTTCAGAGGTTCACAATATATAAACAGCAATAAATAATACTAATATTATGAGGCTTATAATTAGTTTCTTTCCTATTTACCCGGCCAACTTCCCAATCTATATGTCCAATCAAACATAGAATGTGAAGGCAGATAAGAACCATTCGGCCCATCTAGTCTGCCCAATTTTCTAAATACCTTATCTTATAGTTAGGATAGCTTTATGCCTATCCCATGCATGCTGTGAGGAACTGACTCTGCTGGGTTTCGAACCCTGGTTTACATGGTGCTAAACCTTTTCCTTACCAGTACACCAGCCTGCCTTTTGCAAATTTACCTGAGATCTGATACCATTGCTTGTAGAGTCAAGGTTATCAGTGACAACTCTCTTCAGCTGTGTCTGGTCAGGTGTCTGGTTCTTGGCCTATAAAAGCCACTTCCTGTCTCTGTACCTTTGCCAGATTATTGTGGTTCCTGTACTCTCTAATCAAGCGTGTTCCTGTTTCTCCTACCTGTTGCTGAATTTGGACTGTTTTTGACTTTGCTGCTTCTCCTTTCCACTGACCTCGGCTTGCCTCACTACGATTATCATCTTTCTGTTCCAGTCTCCCATCTCTGCTTAAGACCAGAAGGCCACTCAAGGCTCAGGGGCTCAACCACCTGGGTAACGAGTGGCTACCTCTGGCAGAAAACATTGCTGATCTGGCTACTGGACTCCAAAACTTTGTAACATCAATATCATTACAGAATAATCTGGCCCATTCATGGAGACCGTCGGATCAGATTCTGCATTGGCCCAGCAGGTTGCTTTTAATGCAAGAACTATGCAGACCCAGGCACAGACCATTCAAGTGCTGCAGGATCAGGTAGCTGAACTGCAAAATGAAGTTCGATCAATGCATAGTGAGCTTACCAGCTACAGGGCACATGATGTTGCGGCTGCTGCTACTACTACTGTTACACCTGCACAAGATGCCCGCTTGCCTCTACCAGAAAAATTTGGAGGAGACCGCAAAAAATTCAGGGGTTTCCTAAATCAATGCCGTTTGCATTTCATGATGTTACCTAACCGTTTTCCATCTGAAAGAGAGAAGGTGGGATTTATTTTTTCCCTCTTCAAAGATGAAGCCCTGGCCTGGGGCTCCCCTTTTCTGGAACAGGACAGTCCAATCTTGGGAAATTTAAAAGACTTTCTTGAGGCCATGTGCCTAGTTTTTGATGATCCCAATCGCTGTGCTACAGCAGAAGCCACTCTCCTTCATTTACATCAAGGGAGGCGCTCTGTGGCTGAATATGCTGCTGAATTCAGACAGTGGGTTACTGATACTACTTGGAACCAATCAGCCCAGAGGTTCCACTTCAGAAGGGGTCTCTCAGAAGCTATAAAAGATGAGCTAGCTCGTGTTGATCTTCCTGTTGAGTTTGATGCATTTGTGCGGTTGGCTATCCGTATTGATCGGAGACTTTCAGAAAGAAGATTGGAAAGACAGGGCTCTTTTAAACCAAGTGCTACTCCTACTTTCTATTCAAGAATTTCTACTCCGACCCCACAAACACCTACAGACTCTGAACCTGAGGCTATGCAGGTAGATCTAATAAGAGGGCCATTATCCAATGAAGAAAAACAGTGGCGACGCACTCACAACTTATGCCTGTATTGTGGTAGTGCAGGGCATTATGCCATCAATTGCCCTAACAAGTCTAAAAGAACAATAGCTATGACTGCTGAGGGCGCACAGATTCAACACCAATCCCAGATTTCAGATCAACTGGATTCTGTCACACAACCCTTGTTTTCTCTGGCTCAGGGTGAAGAAGGTATGATGACTCAACATCCTCATTTGGTGGTGCCTATCACTTTGCAATATGGTGATAATAAAATTTCAACTACAGCTATGATAGATTCCGGAGCAGGCGGAAACTTTATGGACATTAAATTTGCAGCAGGAAATAAAATTCAGTCTATCCCTAAATCTTCACCTGTGTTAATGGAAACAGTAGACGGTTCTCCACTTACGTCAGGCCCGGTTACACATGAGACTGTGCCCTTAAAATTGATTCTGGAAGTGAATCACCATGAGTCTATATCTTTCCACCTAATTTCCTCAACACAGTTTCCAGTGATTTTGGGTATACCCTGGCTTGCTCTGCATAACCCACAGATTGATTGGAAGACTAGAACTTTGTCCTTTCCTTCAGAACACTGCTTAATGAATTGTCAACCTTCTAAGGCGACACCTGTTACCACAACAATTAATGAAATGGTTGCTACAAACTTAACTAAGCTTCCGCTACAATATCAGGATTTTGCAGATGTCTGTGATAAGAAGAATGCTGATCAGCTTCCACCTCACAGGCCTTATGATTGCCCCATAGAGCTGCTACCTGGAGCTGCTATCCCATTTGGCCGTATATACTCCCTTTCTGAGCCTGAATTGAAAGCACTTCGTGAATACATACAAGAAAATCTTGCCAAAGGCTTTATTCGACCATCCACTTCTCCAGCAGGAGCTCCTATATTCTTTGTAGAAAAGAAAGATGGCAGTCTACGGCCATGTGTCGATTACAGGGACATTAATAAAATCACTGTTAAAAACCGTTATCCCTTGCCTCTCATTCCTGAACTTCTGGAGAGACTTCGTTCAGCTAAAATATTTACGAAGCTTGATCTACGGGGGGCATATAATCTGGTTCGCATAAGACCAAATGATGAATGGAAAACAGCTTTCAGAACCAGGTACGGACATTACGAATATCTAGTAATGCCATTTGGGCTTTGTAATGCCCCTGCAACTTTTCAGCATCTAATCAATGATGTACTACGGGATCTCCTGGATCAGTTTGTTGTGGCATATTTGGATGATATCCTGATATTTTCTGATAATCTTGAAAATCACAGAAAACAGGTCTGCATTGTTCTTGAGCGCCTTCGTACCCACCACCTATACATTAAACTGGAAAAATGTGAGTTTGAACAAACAGAAATTCAGTTCCTGGGGTATGTAATAACTCCTAAAGGTTTAAGTATGGACGCAAGTAAAATTAAAGCTGTGCTGGACTGGCCCATCCCCAAGAATGAAAAAGATATACAGAGATTTGTGGGGTTTGCCAATTTTTACAGGCGTTTCATTAAGAATTTCTCTGCCGTTATTACACCGATCACTGAACTTACACGTAAAGGGACTCCTTTTCAGTGGTCCAATAAGGCTGACACTGCATTTTCCAGATTAAAGACTCTGTTTACATCTGCCCCTATCTTGGTACATCCTCACCCAGAATTGCCATTTACTGTAGAGGTAGATGCTTCTGATTCAGCTGTTGGGGCTATACTGTCTCAAAGGACTGGACCTAAGATGTTGTTACATCCATGTGCCTTCTATTCCCGCCAGATGTTACCAGCAGAAAGAAATTATGACATAGGGAATAAAGAACTTTTGGCTATAAAAGCTGCCTTCACCGAATGGAGACATCTCTTGGAGGGAGCCACCCATCCAATTACTGTACTCACAGATCACAAAAATCTGGAATGTATTCAATCTGCTAAGAGACTGTCAGCCAGACAAGCACGCTGGTCCCTATTTTTCTCAAGGTTTAATTTTTTTATTTCATACCGCCCTGGTTCCAGAAATGGCAAGGCGGATGCCTTGTCTAGGATAGCTGACCCCCTCCATACTACAGTAACCAAGGCCACCATCTTGCCGGAGAGCAGATTTTTAGGAGTTACTTTTCCTTCTGATCTAATGTCTCGCATTAAAAAGGGCTACTCTAAAGATCCAGTTTTTCGTGATCCTCCTCGTGATCTTCATATGACCATGCTTAATGGGTTTTGGATTTTTCAACAACGTCTGTTTGTTCCAGAATCAGTGCGACTGGACGTTTTACGCCTCTACCATGACTCTAAACCAGCAGGTCATCCAGGAATCCGAAAGACACAAGAACTACTTACCCGATCCTTTTGGTGGCCTAAATATTATGAGGATGTTAAGAAGTATGTGTCCTCTTGTGATGTATGTGCCAGACATAAGACTCCTCGCTCATCCCCTGTTGGCTTGCTTCAGCCTCTTCCGATTCCTCATCGTCCCTGGGGATCTATATCCATGGACTTTATTGTGGAACTACCTCCCTCTAAGGAACACACTACCATTCTTGTTGTTGTGGACCGGTTAACTAAGATGAGTCATTTCATACCAGCTCGTGGTCTCCCTTCAGCTAAACAGACTGCTGACCTAGTTATTCGGGAAATATTTTGCTTGCATGGAGTGCCTGATGAAGTAATTTCTGACAGGGGAGTGCAGTTTACATCTCATTTTTGGAAATATTTTTGTTCTATTCTAGGTATTAATGTAAATCTGTCTTCAGCTTTTCATCCACAAAGTAATGGACAGATGAATACGAGGTGGAAAAAATTCTTGACTCCAGGATCTTCCGCAACAAGCTTCAATACTTGGTTCATTGGAGAGGCTATGGTGAGGAGGATAGATCGTGGGAACCAGTGGACAATATTCATGCTCCTGATCTTCTTCAGTCTTTCCATGCACAGTACCCTGCTAAACCAGGAAATAGGGCATCCAGAGGCTGCTCCTGTAGAGGAGGAGGTAATGTGAGGAACTGACTCTGCTGGGTTTCGAACCCTGGTTTACATGGTGCTAAACCTTTTCCTTACCAGTACACCAGCCTGCCTTTTGCAAATTTACCTGAGATCTGATACCATTGCTTGTAGAGTCAAGGTTATCAGTGACAACTCTCTTCAGCTGTGTCTGGTCAGGTGTCTGGTTCTTGGCCTATAAAAGCCACTTCCTGTCTCTGTACCTTTGCCAGATTATTGTGGTTCCTGTACTCTCTAATCAAGCGTGTTCCTGTTTCTCCTACCTGTTGCTGAATTTGGACTGTTTTGACTTTGCTGCTTCTCCTTCCCACTGACCTCGGCTTGCCTCACTACGATTATCATCTTTCTGTTCCAGTCTCCCATCTCTGCTTAAGACCAGAAGGCCACTCAAGGCTCAGCGGCTCAACCACCTGGGTAACGAGTGGCTACCTCTGGCAGAAAACATTGCTGATCTGGCTACTGGACTCCAAAACTTTGTAACATCAATATCATTACACATGCTTAAACTCCTTTACTGTGTTAACCTCTACCATTTCAGCTGAAAATGCATCCACTACCCTCTCAGTAAAGTAATACTTCCTGATATTATTTTTAAACCTTTGCCGCTCTAATTTAAGACTATGTCCTCTTGTTGTGGTAGTTTTTCTTCTTTTAAATATGGTCTCCTCCTTTACTGTGTTGATTCCCTTTATGTATTTAAATGTTTCTGTCATATCCCCCCGTCTCGTATTTCCTCCAAGCTATACATGTTAAGATCCTTTAATCTTTCCTGGTAAGTTTTATCCTGCAATCCATGAACCAGTTTAGTAGCCCTTCTCTGAACTCTCTCTAAATATCCATCTGAAGATACGGTCTCCAGTACTGCGTACAATGCTCCAAGTGAGGTCTCACCACTGTTCTGTACAATGGCATGAGCACTTCCCTCTTTCTACTGCTAATGCCTCTCCCTATACAACCAAGCATTCTGCTAGCATTTCCTGCTTCTCTATTACATTGTCTGCCTACCTTTAAGTCATCAGAAATAATCACCCCTAAATCCCTTTCCTCAGATGTTGAGGTTAGGACTTTAACAAATATTTTGTACTCTGCCCTTGGGTTTTTACGTCCAAGATACATTATCTTGCATTTATCCACATTAAATGTCAGTTGTCACAACTCTGACATTTTTCTAGTTTACCTAAATCATTTGCCATTTGGCTTATCCCTCCTGGAACATCAACCCTGTTACATATCTTAGTATCATCAGCACCATCAATCTGCAGTATCACTAATAAAAAATATTAAAGAGAATGGGTCCAAGTACAGATCCCTGAGGTACCCCACTGGTGACAAGCCCAAGCTTCGAATATACTCCATTGACTACAACCCTCTGTTGCCTGTCACTTAGCCACTGCCTTACCCATTCAACAACATTGGAATCCAAACTTAAAGATTACAATTTATTGATAAGCCTTCTATGTGCAACAGTGTCAAAAGCCTTACTGAAATCTAGGTAAGCAATGTCTACTGCACCACCCTGGTCTATTATTTTAGTTACCCAATCAAAAAAATCAATACGATTAGTTTGGCAGGATCTTCCTGAAGTAAACCCATGTTGTCTCTGATCTTGGAATCCATGTGGTTTTAGATGTTCAACAATCCTATCCTTTAACATGGTTTCCATTACTTTCCCCACTACTGAAGTAAGGCTTACTGGCCTGTAGTTGCCCGAATCCTCCCTACTACCTTTCTTGTGAATGGGCACAACATTCGCTGACTTCCAATCTTCTGGGACTACTCCTGTTAACAATGATTGGTTAAATAACTCTGTTAATGGTTTTGCTAGTACACCACTATGCTCTTTTAATAACTTTGGGTGTATTCCATCAGGTCCCATTAACTTATTTGTCTTTACTTTTGACAGTTGAAATAGAACCTCTTCCTCTGTAAACGCACATGTAATAAATGACTCATTTGTCCTTTTTCCTAACTGAGGTCCCATTCCTTCATTTTCATCTGTAAATACTGAACAAAAATATTAATTGAGGCAGTCAGCTAGACCTTTATCCTCTTCTACATACCTTCCTTCGTTTGTTTTTAATCTAACTAATCCTTGTTTTACTTTCCTTTTCTCGTTTATGTATCTAAAAAATGTTTTGTCCCCTTTTTTGACTGTGCTATTTTGTCTTCAGTGGGATTTTTGAAGCTCTTATAACTTGCTTAGCCTCTTTCTGTCTAATCTTATAGATCATTTTGTCTTCCTCACTCTGTTTTTTTTTTATAATTACTAAATGCTAACTTTTTGTTTTTTACTATTTTGTCCACATCTGCGGAGTACCACAGTGGTTTCTTGAATTTTATGCTTTTACTGACAAGCCTAATGCAATTTTCTGTTGCCTTTAGCAGTGCAACTTTTCAATTATCCCGTTTCTCTTGGACTCCATTTACATTGCTCTAGTCTGATAATGGCTTCTTTACACATATTCTAATTTTAGAAAAGTCTGTTTTTTCAAAATCTAAAACTTTTGTTTTTGTGTGGTGTGACTCAGTCACTGTACTTATATTAAACCACACTGACTGGTGATCGCTGGATCCTAAACTTTCACCTACAGTAATATCTGATACCAAATCTCCATTTGTTAACACTAAATCTAGTATGGCCTCTTTACGAGTTGGCTCCTCAACGACTTGTTTTAGAGACAATCCCAATAGGGAGTTTAGAATATGTGTGCTCCTGGCACAAGTAGCTATTTTTGTTTTCCAATTCACATCAGGAAGATTAAAGTCACCCACTCATGATGATAACATTCTCCTTCATTGTCATTTTAGCTATTTCCTCAACTAGTAGATTATCTAACTCTTCCATAAATCACACCTACACGAGTTACTGTGTGATTACCAAATTCTAACGTAACCCAAACAGACTCTATGTTCACCTCACTAACTTTTATTAGGCTAGATTTTTTGCTATCCTTCACATACAGGGCCACCCCTACCCCTTTCTTGCCTTTCCTGTCTTTTCTATATAAAGAGTACCCTGGTACTATGTCCCAGTCATTTTTCTCATTATACCATGTCTCAGTAACAGCGACTAAATCTACATCATCAGTTACCATTATTGCCACAAGTTCATGGATCTTATTTCCTAAACTACGAGCATTTGTAGACATGACTCTAAGCTTATCATTTTTTAACACACTTGCTACATGCACCTTCTGTCCTTGTCTAGGGGGATAATTGGATTGATGTGTTATCACCCTTTTGCCCCCCTCTCCTAGTTTAAATACATCCTAGCAAAACCTCTGAACTGCTCACTGCGAACAATTGTTCCCTTTTGAGAAAGATGCAAACCATCTTTTTTGTACAGTTTATTTCCATTCCAAACAGAGCTACCATGAGAAATAAAGCCAAATCCTTGCTCCCAACACCATTCACCAAGCCACAAGTTAAAGTCCCTACTACGCATCCATCTGTCATTCTGAGTGTTATGCACAGGCAGAACTTCAGAGAATGACAGTGTGGAAGCAACCTGCCGTATATCATTGGCAAAAACACTAAAAACTTCCTTAACCTCTGAAACCTCATTGCAAGCCAAGTCATTTGTCCCTAGATGGGCAAGTACATCCAATTCCCCTTCCTGCTTTGTTTGCTTAACAATATTACAAATACGTCTCCTGTCTTTGTGAGCAGTAGCTCTGGGAAGACATATCATAAGACCACCATTGTCCATCTCCACACCTCTTATGATGGAATCCCCCAACAACAACTGCTTTCTATTAGGCCTCACCAAGCCTGTCTCCACAACACCATTACCCTCAGTGCCTGAGCCTGTCTCCACAACACCACTACCCTCAGTGCCTGATGCAACCAGGTGACAAGTATAAGGAGCATTAAGGTAAAGCAACATCAAGATTACATATTAAAAGCTTTCTTTGTACCGTTAGAGGAGGTAATATATCTCACTACTACATACAAGTGGTTTCATATCAGTTATGAAATCATTTAAATCTAGACTTGATAAATTCAACATTCATCCACACCACACATCCTTTACTCAATCATACACCTATTTCTGGGTTTACTTACACTTCCTCCTTCTCTGTCTAACTCTACAAAAAGAAAAAAAATCTTGTTACAAAACACTTTAGAATAGTCCAGAAAAAAAAAAAAGTCTTTCAAAAACATAAGAAAAATCAGCTTGTACGCCATAGGTTATGTTCCATAAAGTAGCTGATAGTAGCAAGACGACTGACAATAAGACAATATCCGTTTTTACATAGTCATTAGTACTTCCTTTTGTTGCTGGATTTTCACCACTCCAAATTGTCGAGAAGGTTATTTCATGAGCTTGCAGCTTTAGACAACACTTTACTTTCAGGAATTTTCCGGGTACATGTGTGCACAGTTTATGTCCTCATAGGTAAGCAACTCAGTTTCTCCGGCCTGCATGAGTTGTGGCTGAACAGACGCAATTACAAAATAATCTGTAGAGGTTAGCCAGACGAGATTGGTGAGCAGTTCCTGAGGATCTGATGGCACAAACACTCCAGAATGGTCTCTACAACATACAAACACAAGCATCAATACATGACAATTACTAAAGATACTTTTGTCACAATTAATTAACCACTTACCTGTGTCAAAAATCAAATCAAAACCCAAAATTAAACATTTAAATGGTGTAGCATGAACTTCTTTCGGCTTTGTTTGTATTTCAGGTAATTTGTCAATTACAAAAAGTTTACATATTTTCCCCTTTGAACACTTTTATATTGATGAGAGAAGTATTCACTCTTCATAAACACTTAATTGGACAATATGAGTTACTAAAGTACTTCCTTGAGCAAGTGAAATTACATACTAAGGTCAATACCTAATCTGTAAATATCCACATGGGGACTGTTTCCATAAGAACTCTGTTTCTAAACTTAAACCTTGATTTGATAATCTCAATGAATTAGTTTAATAACCCCAAATCATTCAACATTCCCAGATAAACTCTCTTAAAGACACTCATGTCAAAACCAAAAACCTTCTAGATATATACATTTATTAAAACATTTTCTACAATATTAAATCACCTCAAAGTTTATTCCAAAATACTAGATAAGTCCTTAATTTTATAACATGACAGGAGGCTTAATATTTGCTTAAGTCTCTTTTTACTAGAACTCCCCAGCAGCAAATTAACATAGAGAGAAACAACCAATCAGAAAAAGTAAGGAACCTTAAAAGTCCCCTCCCAACCAACTACTTCCTCTTTCTTTGCTGCTCTACATCAAGCACAGGTCAGAGTACCACTGCCTCCTTTTCCATATGGGTGGCTGTGGGGCATTATTTATATACTTTTATGCAGTATTTTATATTGTGTTTTTTATGGTTATGGGGGTTCAGATTTACTTTCTTTTTGTGTGCATTGGCTGGTCTGTCGGGCTCCTTCTTGGGGCTTGGGAAGTCTATTTCTTGCCTCCCCTCTACCTCTCCCCAGCCTTTTCTTTCCCCCATTTCTATTTGTTTCGTTTGATTTCTTTCCTCCTCACGCATCGCCGGGGAGCGGTTCTGTGAACCGTCTCCCATTGTTCAACCGCCGGGGCCACAAAGTCCCTCTCCGGCAGCCCCACGTGTATGCTCACGCTCGCCGACACTGTTCCGCCGAGCGGGAACTGTCTCCGACCCTGACTAGCTCCCTCCCACGCTCCCGGCCGCAAGTTTTGGATTTGCGGCTCGCGGGCAGAGTGGGCAGAGGGGAGAGGGCAAGCAGGCCACGTGGGAGCGACGGCTCCCGGCCTCGTTTCGTTCCCCCTCCTGTTTCTTCATATACCCACGTAAGAGGTATTAGGATTTCATAGGAACACATTACATGATTTCTGTGCAGAGGGACAGGGCATAGGTTTATCTGTCTGTTCATAGTTCCTTTCTTTGTATCTGCACCATAGTTTGAATACACGTTTTTGTATGGTATTTGATTTGTTTTAATGCCCGCATGGCCTTTTATAGTATGTAGTGGAAGGCCCATCTAAGGGGTGCACATTTCCCCTACTATTTGGGCATTCCCTTGCCTAACAGTTTTCTCCACCCTTGTATCTTGCAGTTTGTGTTGATTGTATATTTCTCCCATTCCTGCATACCTACATCTGGACTGCCCTCTATTGCCTGTACCCACTACTGGTCTGTTATACCTGGCAATTATCTGAATGCACTGATTGGCCTGCTTTGTCTGTGCCCCTTGATTGGCCTGCTTTGTCTTTGTCCCCATGATTTGGCCAGCCCTGTCTGTCCCATTGCCTCTGAACACCCAACCTAGCTGCTACATACTCATGCTTGTGCCTTGCATGCGCTGTCTAGCTTGCCTCTGTCATTAAATGGTGTGCTGCCCCGATTATTCTGCTGGTGTCACATTGTCTACAACTCCCTGACTATGGAGCCCTTTACCCAAGAGCAGAATTTACAGGCGATAATTAATTTGGTGGGGGCTGCCTCCGTGGAAAAGGCCCTGGCTAGGGCCCTCCCTCAAGCTCAACCAGAGTGGGCGCTAGAGGGACCCCTCAAATGGTAATGGTAAGTGCACAGAGACGCTATTGGAAGGTGAAGGCCCGGAACCGGAAGGGTAAGGCTCTGGCGAAGCGTCAAGTACCGATGCTTTCAGCCTCACTGGACAGACGCTGCCGCCTATCAGGCACAAGGGAGGAGGTCTCCATACCCCTCCCACCCATGGCCGTGCTAGATGAATGGTGGATGGACCTCTCCCCCCTTGGAGGAGGAGGACAATTGGGGCGATGATTATGAAAATGACCCCAAGTTGCACCGTGAGACTGAGGACACGTCCGCGCCAGGAGCGATAACTACCATAGGGAGCAACGATGTCTTCCTGGACGCCATGTGCGAACTCCTGTTCGACCCTCGGTCCATTCGGCACCCCAGGTCCTCCGAATGGTCTCTACCTGATAACTTAGCACAATTCGTGCATTACTGGGTCCGCAGGCCTCTGGATTGGTAAGTTCGCAGAAAACTTCGAGCGGAATGCCCCAGGCCAGTACTCCCGGACAAGGTCACCACGAACCCCAGAAATTGACCCACTGGTCACCACGTACATGACATGCACTGGTCGGGACCCTAAGAAAGGAGACGAGTGCAGCCTCCGTCTTGCGTGAGACAAACTGCTGGACATGCTGGGCCCTCTATCCAGGATGCTCATGCTTGCAGACGAGGCCTATTTGGAGGGTGCTACCCTGGACCCACTTCCATACGGGACTGGGCCCTGCGCTCTATTTGCCTGCTGGGAAATATGAATGTTGCACTGTGCACGGAATGCAGAAAGGCGGTCCTTCTTCGCATGGACCACAAGCTGTCTGAATTGGGGTTTAAGGAATTGGGCCCCCTGCCAAAAGGGTCTTCTCTTCAGGGAACCCTTCATAGTGGAGCTTCACAAACATGTGAATCTATTCACCTCCTTTGACAAAGCCCAGACCTCCATAAAGAGAGTCTTTCACCTACATAATTCTCTGGTTTTTGGCAGGGCTGGATGACAGCAGGGTTGTGTCTCCAACCGCTTCTGGCCTTCTGGTCGCCGAGGATCCCGTGGACCATCCTTCTTTCTGTCCTACCATTCACAGTCCTTTTATTGCCAGAGATCAGACAGAGGTAGAGCAAGTCGGGCCCGAGAGTTCTTCAGACCATTCAGGGATATGGCATAGTGTTTCATTCCCGACGGACTTCGGTTCGCCCTCCACCGGTTCCCGTCTCCTCAAGGGTACAACAGTCCCTGATAGATACAGAGATTCAAGCCCTGTTCGACAAGGGCATGGTCCAGTGGGCTCCGGACACGGCAGGTTTCTGTAGCTTGATTTTTCTAGTGAGGAGAAAGTCTGCAGATTTCCACCCGGTGATCAAGTCTAAACACCTTTGTGGTATACCATCATTTCAAGATGGAGGGCATCCATCTCCTACAGGACCTCCTCCGGCCAGGAGATTGGTTCACAAGACTGGATCTGAAGGACGCCTACCTGTCAGTCCCGGTGGACACCGAGTGCCGAAGACTTCTCAGTTTCCACTGGAAGGGCAGACCTTGCCAGTTCACTTGTCTCCCATTCGGCCTCAGCTCTGCTCCGTGCTGCTTCACCAAGCTATTGAAACCTGTTATTGCATGCCTCCGATCAGAGGGCGTCCGTTGTATCATCTACCTGGACGATCTGCTGATCTTCTGCAAGGAGCCCTCCAGACTGAAGTGTCAGACATGCTCTGCTGTCTCCTTATTCGAGTCCCTGGGCTTCGTGGTCAACCAGGATAAGTTGGCTCTCTCCATCCCAGGTGGTTGAGTTCTTGGGTTTCGAAATAGATGCGAGAGAATGTCTCCTACGTCTCCCTCTATCCAAGATAGCGACCATTCGAAAGGAAATAAGGAGGATTCTACGTCAAGACCGGATTCTGCTACGAATGTTGGCACGCATGGTGGGTCTCCTCTCTCCCTCGATCCAGGCGATCTACCCGGGCTCACTCCATTACATGCAGCATTTGAAAGCTTGTTATCTATGCAAGAGACCTTCCTATGACCAATTGATCCCCCTCACTCCAGACTTGAAGACCGAACTACACTGGTGGCTCCTCCACATGTCAGCCTGGAACGGCAAAGCGATCTTTTGTGCTAGAGTCAGACGTGAGTCTTTGGGGTTGGGGAGCCACCTGCATGACCATGCTAATGGGGGGCCATGGTCATAGATGGAGTTGGAGTTCCACATAAACTGCCTGGAATTGATTGCGGGATCGTTCGCTATTCGGAGCCTGGCGAGCCATCTGGGAGGATCCCGCTCTCGGATACTCTCAGAGGTGATGAAGGAGATTTACAGCTTCTGCTTCCAACGCAACATCACCCTCCAGACAGAGTCTCTTCGAACCTGATGGCAGATTGGTTCTCCAGACATTGGAGGGACGCCAGCAATTGGAGGCTCTTTCGTGCCATTTTCCTCGAGATCATAGATCGGAAGGGTCCATTCACAGTGGACCTTTTCGCCTCCAGGACGAACTATCAGGTCCTGACCTATTTCAGCTGGCTTCCGGATCCGGCTTGCTCAGCGGTGGACGCTTCCCTACAAGTGTGGCTGTCACGGGGAGCTTATGCATTTCTTTTGTTTGCTATGATACCCAGGGTCTTGCTGCAAGTTCAACGTCAACGTGTGTCTTTGGTATTACTGACTCCTCTATGTCAGAGTCAAGCCTGGTTTCCGGAACTTCAGGATCTGTCCCATCAGAATCCACTGCTCCTACCATCCCCACTGATGCTTCTCTCGGACTCCTGGGGCAATCCTCACCCCCTCGTGATGGACAGCCACCTCCGCTTAGTGGCCTGGGCTCTTTCAGAGGATCCTGGAATGTTGAGGCGTTATCGCAGTTGGCTAAGGACCTCCTCTGGGACTCCTAGGCCCATGGGACTAGGAGATGCTATTTGTCAGCATGGAGTCCCTGGTGTCGTTGGTGCCTGGAATGGGATACTGATCCCTTTATGGGCCCTGTAACCAGTGTTCTGAACTTTCTGTCACACCTGTTTGACCTGGGACGCTCATATCGTTCGGTTAATGTGGCAAGATCGGCGATTTCAGCGGCTCACGTACCGCTTCAAAGGTTTCCCATTTGTCAGGACTCGCTGGTTTGCAGACTTCTCCGAGGCATGAGACTGTCGCAACCTCCAATGCCTAAGTATTCCTCCCTCTGGAACGTACGCAAGGTTTTGTTGTTCCTCCAGGATTGGCCTGATAATCAAGCCCTCTCCCTCCGTCAGCTTTCGGCTAAATTTGCCCTCCTTCTATGCCTTATTTCTTTCAGGCGTGTTTCAGATGTCCAGGCCTTTGATGTTGATGCTTTTTCTTTCTCTCCGGAAGGGGTCACCTTCAGGGTGTCTAGACGTACTAAGTCAGATTCGACTGCCATATTCTACCCATATTTCCGCGACTCGCCTAAACTCACCCTTTTTGTTCCGGTCAATTATTGATTTCTTATGTCAGACCTCACAAACTGGTCTCGTCTCCTACTCTGGCGCGATGGATTAAATGGTTGTTGGCATTGGCGGGTGTGAATTCGACCTTCGGAGTGCATTCGGTTAGTGGGTGCCTCTCTCAAGGACATCATGCATTCAGCTGACTGGTCCCGAGAAGATACCATCCGCCAATTTTATTTTAGACCGACGGATCGTAGGTCAGTTTTTTTTCGTTCCTGTGGGATTTTATGGATGTTATACTGTTATACTGTCTGTGATTGATTATGGGTCTTCATGTTTTCACAGTACATTTCATTCACTAATCTGAGTTTTCGACTCTGCTTATCTCGTTTCAGTTTAATGGTTCATCTACAGAACCAAGTTCAAGACGTTCATTTGGATAAAGTTCAGGGGTCCATTTACTGATTCACGTTCGTTTCGAGTTTTATATGAAAGTCATCGGCTGACTTTGTTTGAGTTCTTCTGATACTGCTTTTGTGTTATATTGTTCATGTACTTTGTTTTATCACAGCTTGAAAGAGGAAGTAGATGTTTGGGAGAGGACTTTTATGGTTCCCTACTTTTTTCTGATTGGTTGTTTCTCTCTATGTTAATGTGCTGCTGTGGAGTTCTAGTAAAGAAAGACTTAAGCAAATATTCGCCTCCTGTCATTAATAAAATTAAAGGACCACTATAGTGCCAGGAAAACATACTCGTTTTTCTGGCACTATAGTGCCCTGAGGGTGCCCCCACCCTCAGGGTCCCCCTCCCGCCGGACTAGATGGAGAGGAAGGGGTTAAACTTACCTCTTTTTCCAGCGCCTGGTGGGGAGCTCTCCTCCTCCTCTCCTCCCTCTTCTCCTCCTCTTCGGCTGAATGCGCATGCGCGGCAGGAGCCGCGCGCTCATTCAGCCAGTCCACAGAAAAGCATTCACAATGCTTTCCTATGGACGCTGGCGTCTTCTCTGAAACTGCTATGTTTATAGAAAAAAGGGTTAACCCTAGATGGACCAGGCACCCAGACCACCTCATTAAGCTGAAGTGGTCTGGGTGTCTATAGTGGTCCTTTAAGATTATAGTTACACTAAAGCTAGTATAATCTACAATTACTTGGAACCCTCAGTACTGGGTTCTTCAGCTATTAGCAATCTCTTACTACAAAATCCTACCCTCTGGTCTTTGTTCTCAGTAATGAACAGTACACTCCCTCCTTGCTAAATGAGTGTATTATTTATATATCTGTTTAATGCTATCCTCTTTATCCTGTTTGGGTAATTTTGCCAAAATATCTCCTAATAAGGTATTCCAGCAAGGTGCTTTCAATTGAAAAATGCTTTCAATTTATCAGTACAAATATCATACATTAGTTTCACAGATTACTGAATTTATTTATCAGCATAAATTATCTGATATCTATTAGAAAACATAATTGCAACACTAGAAGAACCTTACTTTGGCTAAACCAATAATATCCTGCATATATATATATATATATATATATATATATATATATATATATATATATAAGGATCCAAAGAGAATAACACTCATGTCTACTGATTAATGAAATCATTATGCATCTACCAAGAAAATAAGGCTGCAATGTTAATCTGCTCTTGACATCTGTGTGCCAAAGATTATAGAGGTATATTTGATAAATAAAATCACAAACTTAAAAAAACTGCACGGATTGGTCCACTCTTGCTGGCTATTTGGCGTTTGAAAACAATAAAGGCTTGCGTTAATGACATGCAAATTTTCTTAAGTTTACATTTTACACTCAGACAGAAATGCACATTAAAACGTAACACACCAACCAGCAGAGATGGTAATATAAATATCCCATTCATGGATATGAAAATATACTAGACCACCTTAACACAGTAATAGAAACATAGAATGTGATGGCAAATAAGAACCATTCAGCCCATCTAGTCAGCCCATTTTTTTTTTTTTAAATTTCATTAGTTACTGGCCCTATCTGATATGTGTACATGCTTAAACTCCCTCAACGTGTTAACCTCTATCACATCAGCTGGAAGGCTATTACATGCATCCACTACCCTCTCAGTAAGGTAATAATTTCTGATATTAATTTTAAACCTTTGCCCCTTTGCCCCTCTAATTTAAGACTATGTCCTCTTGTTGTTGTAGTTTTTCTTCTTTTAAATATAGTCTCCTCCTTTACTGTATTGATTCCATATATATATATATATATATATATATATATGTTTCTATCATATGCCCTCTGCCCTGGCTTTCCTCCAAACTATATATGTTAAGATACTTTAAACTTTCCTGGTAGATTTTACACTGCAATTTATGAACCAGTTTTGTAGCCCTTCTATGAACGCTCTCCAAAGTATCAATATCCTTCTGGAGATTCGGTCTCCAGTACTGTGTACAATACTAGAAGTGAGGTCTCACCAGTGTTCTGCACAATGGCATGAGCAATTCCCTCTTTCTACTGCTAATACCTCTCCCTATACAACCAATCATTCTCCTAGCATTGCCTGTTGCTCTATGACATTTTCTGCCTACCTTTAAGTCATCTGAAATAATTCCCCCATAATCCCTTTCCTCAGATATTGAGGTTTGTTGTGTATCAAATGTTGTATACTCTGCCCTTGGGGTTTTATGCCCAAGATGCATTATCTTGCAATTACACACATTAAATGCCAGTTGCCACTGCTTTGACCATTTTTCTGGTTTACCTAAATCATTTGTCATTTAACTTCTCCCTCCTGGAACATCAACCCTGTTACATACTTTTGTATCATCAGCAAAAAGACCTACCATCAAGACCTTCTGCAATATCACTAATAAAAAATAGTAAAGAAAATGGGTTCAAGTACAGCTCCCTGAGGTACCCCACTGGTAACAAGACTTTGCTTTGAATATACTCCATTGATTACAACCTTCTGTTGTCTGTCACTCAGCCACTGCTGAAATCATTCAACAGTATTGAAATCCAAACTCAAAGATTGCAGTTTATTGATAATGTCAAATGTTCTACTGAAATCGAGGTAAGCAAAGTCTACTGCACCATCTATTATGTTAGTTACTTAAAGGACCACTCTAGGCACCCAGGAGATGAGGAGGAGAGCTCCCCGCCCAGCGCTGGAATAAAGGTAAGTTTAACCTCTTTCCTTGCCATCCAGCCAGGCGGGAGGGGGACCCTGAGGGTGGGGGCACCCTCAGGGCACTATAGTGCCAGGAAAACAAGTATGTTTTCCTGGCACTATAGTGGTTCTTTAATCAAAAACTTAATAAGATTAATTTGGCATGATCTTCCTGAAGTAAACCCAAAACGAGTATGTTTTCCTGGCACTATAGTGGTCCTTTAAGGGAAGGGTAGGCAGTTATTAAGCTGACAACCCAAAAATTTCTAAAGTATCCTGCTCAGAAAGCGTCTTTTATTGGCATTAGAAACCATGCACAACGGTTATCAATTACAGAAGTAAAACTAATACATCTGATTATATTTTACCCTATTCTCATATTTATTTCGAGGGCTTCACTTGTAAAAACTCTTGCATATTGACCTATGCAAACATCTATTTCACCTTTGTTGAGACCACAATTTATTAGTACCAGTATCCAATATAGATAAAACCACACCAGCTGACCACAAGACTAAATAATAGGGAGTCTAATATTGCAATATGTTCTCCACTCTGTAGCTTAGGCCGTGGTTTTCAAATTTAGTAAAGTGAAACACATTTTGCTTGTAATGACTAATAGAAAACACATATGTTTATATATACATTACAAATGGGCAGTATGAGACTGTGGAATTCAAAATTTCTTAACCCAATAAAGTGTTACACACAGAATGAAGCTCAGTACTTCAACTCCCCTTACTCTTAGGCAACAGTAAAAAAAATGTAATAACCAAAGTATTCAACAGACCAAGTATGTGGAACAGTTGTTTAATAGACTGGAATCTCTGTCCATATCTTTACATTACAATAAACTGATAATGTATATGCTTTAAAACAACACAGTCATAGTAATTTTCAAAACTTTCCATAAAAACTTCTCCTTGTTAGTTAAGCTGCACACTTATATATGCATATAATGGATAACCAAGCCGCACATTAACCCATAATCACTGTGTGAAGGAATACCACATCACTCTTTCAAATTCGTACACACCCCCCTGTTCGGTTACCAAATAGAATTTTGTGTTCCCCTTTTTATACTCCCGAGAGACAGACCACCCCTGGCTCATTAACTTCAAAGAAGGTCATTAACATAAGTGCTTTCCCTGGGAGGCCACCATTCGTATAACCAAAAACATGTGCTCTATCGAATGGTGGCCATTTTGTCTGCTGAAGACAGGCAGCTGTACTTTGTTGTCGAGCGCATGGAACTATATTCAGACACTACAGCTCACGAATCCAGGTAAACTCATACTTCCTCCTGCTTTGTTTACAGATAAGCCAGGAGAGCGCTCTTTGGGGAAAAGACTCTGTGACCTACGAGGAACACTCGCTACCTAAGTGTCCGGGGAAAATTCGGTCATTTTCACACAGGAGCTCTCGAACACTGACCAGCCATATCCACTTTTTCCCTGGAACTGTTTTGGGCTATGACTTTGTGTGGTGATTCCACTACACTGAAGGATCTGAGTGCTATTTGGTCAACTTGGGCATTTGGATCTGGGCTATATCCAAGGATTTAGGACATGTGGGGTTCCTGTGTGGGATTAATGGGGTTTTGGTTTTTTTTTGTGAAAATGGTAGGTTTTTCTGTAGCTGGGAGATAATTGAATTACCAGGCTTTTGACTAAATTATATCCCAGACAGAGACACTGGGAGCAGTTTATATGGCAACTCCATGCTGGGAGTCTGTGTATAAATTATGTGTGCTTGGACCGAATAAACAGGTCTACTCCCAACATTCAGTCTCGACTATTGTATGGGGGGGGGAGTTATACCAGCTGTAATCACTTCATCACTTCAGCAGTTGGATAGAGTTATTTTAAACTGGGAAAGGGAGTCTGTGGCGGCGATACACTGGTGATCCACCACACACTGCATCCATACAGAATACATTTTTACCAAATGTAGTATTTATTACATATTTTTGTAAGGTATACAGTTTTTTTTCTATCTTCTTTTTTACTTATGTTTACTTGTATTCTCTCAATCATCTTATAACACTTTATAGCTCTTCTTGTATTTTAGAAAGAAAGGGGTCCCTTTACATAGCGGGCTTATCCCCTGGATTTTTATTTACCATTTGCATATATACAGACCACTTTCACCACACAAGGTCTGTACCTTGTTAGTATTTTTTTTTGTTAGTATTTTAACAAGGAATACATTTCTCAGCATCCTCTTCAACAAATTTCACCCACTTTCATATGTTAAAAGAACACATATAATTAGAGACACTTAAAGACATATTAGTAGCAAACCTTTTAAGCCTTCAAGACCACCCTATCTCCTACTAACACATATGGTATTGGCTGCATGTAGGCACCAGAAACGAAACAGGGAGTTAGCATTGTGCCGTTTTTTTATTTTATGTCCCTAAATTCAACATTTGCCTTATCATCTTTATCCCCTAATTCATTAGGGGTCTGTCCTCCTCCCACTGCCCCAGAAACAGAGGAGAGTGAAACATAAACATGTGGTATTATATATTATATTTTAGCGAGGCTGCAGGCAATATAGTTCTGGAATTCCCAATCAATAACTTATTAATAGTGATGCACCGAACGGTTCGCTGGCCAATATTTCCGGGCGAACATATGCGCGGTTCGATCCGCCCTCTATTCATCATCATTGAGTAAACTTTGACCCTGTACCTCACAGTCAGCAGACACATTCCAGCCAATTAGAAGCACACCCTCCCTAGCAGACCCTCCCACCTACTGGACAGCATCCATTTTAGATTCATTCTCAAGCTGCATGCTTAGTGAGAGGAGGGAAAGTGTAGCTGCTATTGATTTGATAGGGAAATTGATAGCTAGGTTAGTGTATACAGTGTCCACTACAGTCCTGAAGGACTCATCTGATCTCTGCTGTAAGGACAGCACCCCAAAAAGCCCTTTTTAGGGCTATAACATCAGTCTGCTTTTTCTGTGTAATGTAATTGCAGTTGCCTGCCTGCCTGCCAGCTTCTGTGTCAGGCTCACAGTGGATACTGTGCCCACTTGCCCAGTGCCACCACTCACTCACTGGTGTCACAATAGCTCGCATTTAAAAAAAATAATTTTTTTTTCACTATAATAGATTGAATAGCAGTTGGTTGTCTGCCAGCTTCTGTGTCAGGCTCACAGTGGATATTGTGCCCACTTGCCCAGTGCCACCACTCACTCACTGGTGTCACAATAGCTTGCATTTAAAAAAAAATGTATTTCACTGTAATAGATTGAATAGCAGTTAGTTGTCTGCAAGCGTCTGTGTGTCAGGCTCGCAGCGTATACTGTGCCCACTTGCCCAGTGCCAC